TCAAGGGACCGAAGGATCCCACGAGCACCTCCCCCGCAACAGAATGCCCAAATACCTCAGTCCCCAAGACATCTGCGATAATTTACTCGGTCTCACTGAGATTAACCTTAAGACCGACGCGCACCTTCGTCACCTTTCTTCGTGCCCGTCGTCGTCTTCGCAATCACAGCTCTGCTCTCTCTCAACCTCAATGATCTCGCAGCCTTGCGCCGCTGCCCTCCTCTCGCCATGCTCCTCCCCACGCTCATGCTCATCGTCAAGCTCACCCCCACCCTCACCCCCACCCTCACCATCTTCCTCACCCTCACCCTCCACCTCAACCCCTTCCATCCTTCAAACCAATCTCCAGCAGACTCTTCTAACGGCGGCATCATTCCCACTTTAATCCTTCAAAACAATCTACCCGATCACCGAATCCCTTAATCCCAATAATCGCTCTAATCGCCCTACTCCCACTCTCACCGAATCCCTTAAACCCACTTTCATCTTAATCCCTCACCCTACCTAATACCGCCTGAATACTGCTCTCACCTGAATCCTTTCCACTCTTGCTCATTCCCCTCCGCGTTCAGGGCAAGCGGCAACTCGCCACAAATTTCCAGTACTTGACTCACTCACGGTCTTCTTTGCTCCTTGATTCGCGTTGGACGCCTCTGGGAACGAAGAATTTCCTCGTAAACGTCTTCGAAGCTCAGCTTTCAAGGCGAGCGTGACTGGCATCATCCCCTCCTCCCACCCTTCTTACTGGAAGACCCCTGCTCTCTTCCCGGATGATGTCTTCGTCCTCACAGCTCTCCATCACTCCCTCGGTCACCCCGCCTTCATCTCCGGAGATCGACTTCAACCCACCACCAATCCTAATCCGCTCTGCCGAAGTACGCGCCGCATTTTTGTCGCTGCACTCAGACTCCGACGTCCCCCTCTACGACTCCGAAGATGACGGGACGCACCCTATCCCCGAGTCCCACCTGTCGCACCGTGCTCCGCAGCCCGCACAGGAGGGCAGCGCGGTCTCCACCCGCACCCGCAGCTCCAGTTTGGCCTCCCCTCCGAGCAAATCGCCGGCGCCAGTAGGCCAGTCGTCTCCGCCTTTCGTGACGTGCCCCCCACTGCGTCCTGCAGGGATCCACCCACCTCTACTCTCCGTGGCCAAACCCCTCAAGAACTACCGCAAGATCTTGGGCGCGCAACGACGCCTCCTCGCCGTAGTCTTCGTCTCGCCTGTTTGGCTTCTGTCAGTCAAAGTCTTCCTCAATAAACGAAACGTTACCTCTCATACGATTTACAGCGAGTTATGCCCATCAACATAAAAGGGGGCCAAGCAAATTCGATGAGTTGATGTCGCAGGATTAGCGTACAGTCTTGAAATCCCCTCAACTCTTCATTGAGAATTGCTAACAGGCATGCGTACGCGTTCTCAATTTTTTAGTAGTGCTCTTTCTTCTTTCTTTTCGCAAGCTCCTGTGCCATGGCTTGGGATAACATAGATGCCTGCTGGTGCGGTGCGTGTTGAAGGTGCGGGATGATGTCTGGCATTGACTACGAGTTAGTTGGGGTTTACAATAAGTTAGTTGAGGACAAGGCGGCATGAGTTGCTCAGGGTGGAAAATACACCGATGGCGTTACTGTTCTCGAACTCATCGACATGCTTTTGATGTCTTTTCGCAATTCAGACGGCTCTCTACATGGAAACAATCATATAACAAAACAATGCAACTGCAACTACATGACCGTGCCATATCAGTGATTTAGTTTACTGTAGTCTCCAATTGACACAAGACAGCCTCAGACCCATCCTCTCGCCTTTGGACAATTCCTCCCTCCCTTGAAAACATTTAGAATGTTCCTCCTGCGCGAAAAGCAGTCCCCAAGTCTGCCATTCACAGGAACCGACTCATGATTTCTTGCCAATCCTCTACCCTCCCTGTATCAAGTGTGCTCCCGTCTCCACCTCCCAAACCCGCACGCTCTTGTCCCACGATCCCGATACCACACGTCTTCCGTCCCCACTTATCGCAACGCTAGCCACGACATGCGTGTGTCCAGCGAACGGGCCCCCGACTTGTGCTCCTGTCTCCACGTCCCAAACCCGCACGCTCTTGTCCCACGATCCAGATACTACACGTTTTCCGTCCCCACTTATCGCAACGCTAGCCACGAAATGCGTGTGTCCAACTAACGGGCCCCCGACTTGTGCTCCCGTCTCCACGTCCCAAACCCGCACGCTCTTGTCCCACGATCCAGATACCACACGTCTTCCGTCCCAACTAATCGCAACGGTAGCTACGAGATGCGTGTGACCAACTAACGGGCCCCCGACTTGTGCTCTCGTCTCCACGTCCAAAACCCGCACGCTCTTGTCCAACGATCCAGATACCACACGTCTTCCGTCCCCACTAATCGCAACGCTTATCACACCACACGTGTATCCAACTAATGCCTCCCCGACTTGTGCTCCAGTCTCCACGTCCCACACCCGCACGTCCCTGTCTACGGATCTAGATACCACACGTCGTCCGTCACAACTCATCGCAACGCAACTCACTCCCGACCTATGACCGCAGAAAATTCTCAGTACTTTCCTCTCCGATGTACTCCACAGCCTTAACGTCCCGTCTTCGTATCCGACAATCACAAACCTCTTCCTCACACAGAAAGTTGCGCAGGTGGCTGTCGTCACGCTCGGTCTTTCTCCAGTCACTTTGGATGTTACACTTCCAATGCACATCCGAAAATATGCCCCCATACGCCCACCCCTTCTGTCCCTGCGTACTTCAATGTCCCCTGGCCCCTGGATCTCCGGTTCGAACTCGCCTCCTAATCGAACTAGCTTCGTCTTCTTCTCAGCAGATTGCGTGAAAACTGTTACTTTCGCCCCGTACCGCTCCACCTGACATCCATACACTTCACCCCTGGAATCCATGCCGACTTGACTGTCTCCGCAATAGTCAGATGGGAGGATAATCTGGTCTACCAACCTTGCATCGGCTGGTGCCACACACCCACTCATAACAGACTCTCGTTTCATATGTGTGGGTGGGGGGGTAGCGAGAGGTAGATGAGAGATGATGCCTAGATTTTACCGCGATTATATAGAGTCAAGGGAGTAGGGAGATCAACGGGACTAACTGGGATTAGCCTTTATCGTGGGATTAGCCTTTATCATGGGATTAGCCTTTATCGTGGGATTAGCCTTTATCGTGGGATTAGCTTTTATCGTGGGATTAGCCTTTATCGTGGGACTAGCTATTTTCACGTATGATACTCGTCAGAGCTGCTGCCGAATAGGGTGCGCCGATGTGTCCCTAAATCTATGAAAGTGGCCATACAAGTCCAGATCCTCATACTGTACCCATATTCGGTGATGCGCTCCCGTAACCTCCAATTTTCAAGAAATATCCGTTCTAGTCAACCAAATGCCATGCAACTTGCAGTCATTTTCATCGCGTCCAGGGCCTAACGCGATGGTGTAAATTTATATTATTAGGCTGATGCAGCATATATAATTTGGCTATGTCGAGAGGTGCATGGAATTTGCTTCTTTGTATCTTGATTGATCTATAAGGAATGATTGTATATGTCGAGAGGTGCATTGAATTTGCAGCTTTTAAAATTCTGCCACGATTTTGACGTTACTCATCTCGAAATAAAGAACAGTTCATTTTTGCGGATTCAACGTTCACTAAATTTATAATCCTGAATCCCTCAAAACCTGGCTGGGAATATCACAAGATCAATTTATGCTGATTTGTTCACGATTAAACATGATCTTTGCTACTGATTTGTTTCTTACTAGATTCATTGGTCTATAAAGATACATACATGTTTGGTCGAATTCCATTCATTACCGTTAGCTTTATCGTGAGATGCACTGAAGTTGCTTCGTCACTAATGGATTGACCTTTACAGATAAATCTATTTTTAGTACGATGCAGCGCGTAAACGTTAAATGTATCGAGAGGGGCACTGTAGTTGCAAGAGGTCTGTAAGTTTTTGTAGTTCGTAGGACAACTATTGCTAAACGTCTTCGTGATTGTGAACTTTGTGATTGAGGGTCTCTCACGATGCGTACATTTGAAATACGTCACATCCTGTCATATTTGACAACTATGCTATTGATAGTGGTACAGTTCGGAGAGTTATTTTAAAGTGGGAATGAGTCTATTTTTAATAACGAATGTAATCTGATTACAGTTTTTTGATGTCTCTACATAGTGCAGATTTTTATAACGATTTTTGTACCCGAATATGAGAATTCTGACATCCCCCTGAAATCCTTTGTTTGGATGCACACCCGTACCTTTCGAAGGGTAGCTTATACCAAAATGAATCTATGTTTTAGTTTTATATTTGTCGTCAGACGAGATGGTTCATGCAGTGAACGTCAATTGGCCCTACTAAGCGTGGCTATGGCGGCTTATGATAGCTGATATGTTTTCTCTGTACGTACTCTGCATTTTAATTATATTTTAAAACGTGGACCTCCCGCGACAGGTTTCTAACTGTCGTAATTTATAGGCTGAAGAGAAATGCAAAAGGTGATTACTACAGTATTAGCGCGTAGCGGTTTCCGAAACGGTGGCTGTATTGCTAAACGGAATTAAAATAGAATGCATGACTACAGTATACTGTACTGGGGAATGGGTACAGAGCTGCAGTTGTGGGCTGAAAGACGGTGTGCGTCCCCCTCTCCCCTTGGCGGATAAGGTCGACGTGGTTCATGTACGATTCCTCGACCACGGAGGAGAGGGACGTCGAGTTTACACATGCATCCATCCCGTTCGCGACGACAATCAAAGAGCCACAGAGGGCGAGTGAAATGGAGAGACTGCGTGAAAAGTGCATGAAGCCCATTGCGGCGTCTCTTGCTTCGCGGCAAATCGCTGGGTTTCTAAACTTGCAAAAACAAGCTCTGCAGAGCGAAAGGTTGGAAGGCAAAGCGTGAACGAGGTGGCTTCTCTATAGAACTCAGAAGGAAGTCGCAATCGGCATCAAAATACTTTTTGTGCTACTTCATTTCATGAAAGATGAACAGCTGCAGTGCCCGAGAGGCGACTGAATACTCGAGGCTTATCATTTGGAAAGATGGCGCGGCTCTCTCCCTCGTTTCTGTGCTCACGCCCGGCTTTCTCTCGTCACCCCTAAACCGTTTGCGTTGACTCTCTGCATTTCCAGGAAATAATATTGTAATGCCCTCCTCCTCACGTCCCTCCGGGTCCTCTCACCAAACATTCGCAACGGATGACTCTCTCCCGTAGTCAAACCCGTAAGCCTGCGCCTGCACCACCTGCGCAAGGTCGTCGGCATTGCACTCCTTCTCATTGCAGCACATGCAGCACATCTCGTTAGCGACCGCCCTCTAAACCGGGCTCTCCCCGCCGACCACGCATGTACTCGAACAGCAATACAGCCTCGGGTCCTCCGCCTGCACGAGCCTGCTCACGTTGCGAAACCCGGCACTACAGTTGCGCGCGCCCCCCGCCACGCCCTCCTTCCCCCTCCCCCCGTAAAACTCGCTGTACGCGTGCAGCGACGCGTTGCGCCCCACCACGTCCTGCATGTCCTCCGCCCGAACCCCCGTGCTGTTCCACGTCACCCACCATGCCTTCCCGCACGAGTTCACCGACGCCATCCGCCTGACCAGCTCCGGGAAGAAGTGCTCGCTGCTCCTGACCATCTCCCAGACGTCCGTGATCGCCGGGAACCCAGCCACCATGGCCGACCGTGGCCCGGTCCCCATCTTCTTCGGCGCCACGTGCGCACGCGTCATGTACCCCTCGACGTAGGACGCCGGCACCCGCACGCGGTCCCCGTCCATCCGCTTGCACCGCGCCGCCACGTATGACATCCGCACATGCTGCCGCAGGATCCCCGCCGCCGCCTCAGTCTTCCCACCGATCAGATAGATCTGATGACAGATTCCCACCACGTACGCCGAGAGCGTCGTCGCTGGTAGCCATAAACCGTTGGCGTCCATCTTTTCCTCAAACTCTTCGCACATGCGCGCTTGGTCCCGGTCGTAGCGCATTGTCTCGTCGGAGGGGAAGTCCGACCCCGCCCAGCCTTCTTGCGTGATGTTTCCGACTCTCGACAGTGTCACGCCTCATGCCTCAGCCACGCCCTTGCGCTGCAGCTCCCGCAGCACGGGGAGGTCTTCGCGCCGCTCCAGCGAGCAGAAGAGCCTCTCCGCCGGGGGGAGGAGCAAATCCTTGGCCACGATCTCCGCCAGTTGTTTTGACAGGTACCCATTGTCTTGTGTGAACACGCTGTTGCGGCAGGTTTCGTCGATCTCGGACTGGAACTCCCACGCACGCACACTCCGGGGCTGCCACGGCTTTCAGAGCTAGGTCGTAGAAAAACTTAACCATTTCCATCGGAATCCCCCCGCGCCGTAAAGTAGATGTATGCTGTAAAAATTGGCGACATACAATTGAAATCTGCAACATTTATTGATGTTTTTAATATTATTATAAAGGTGACCGACGCCGTCGCTGGTGTCCGACGCCTCTCCCACGAAAACGCAAAATTCGCGCCCCACCCCGTGACGCCCGCTGTGCCGTGAGCCTATGACTCGCGCTCGTGCTGTCAACACGTGCGCGTCACACCGCACGACTCCGCGTCCACAGCCGGCCCCTCCCAGCGCTGTAGAGCCGCGCCCTTCCTCGCGGCCGCTGCGCCCCCCCACCTCCCCCCCCTTGATCCCAATTGACTCTGATCCCTCTCCCTGCCGTTTCAGCCATAACAGCTCTTTGCCGGAGCACCATCACCGGCCGAAAAAAACAAAGCCCTAAAACAGGGTGCAAACTTTTTGCGTGCCCAATCAGACCCTCACAAAGGATACGCGGCCTTTCCTGCAAAACAAAGGTTAACGTTCAGAGCAGCACAGGGAAGAATGACGAAAGGGGAAGGCCTTGCCCTTTTCAAAGATTGAGACATCACACATCACACGAATGATTTACCCATGACCTCGGGGGGCGAATTTTTTTATTGAGGATGGCTGTCGCGGAGAGTGCTCCACAGCATCTTAAGCCGCAACTTTCCCGCTACAAATAAAATTAGCACTCAGATCACTCCAGCAAATCTTTACTTGTACAGAACACATCTTGCGGTTAGCATTGCGTCATATTCTACTTACAGTAAGTTCGGAAAACCAGATGACTACCTACACATGCCGACTTCCCCTTCAATAACGTCGCAGCTTTCAATTCCAGTTGAAAACGGTTCCTTCCTACGATAATAAAACTTGATAGAGTTGTCCCCGAGCTTCTCTGGCCACTTGATCAACTGACTAGAAAACTCTGATTCTGCACTCTTGAGTTTTGAGCAAAGCACCGCCGGCGGTTCACTTGCCACACGCCCACGCGGCGTGGCACGTATGCCCGATTCATAATACTGATCCATGGATATGAATAAATTTATTACAGAAACAAATCAAATCACATCCCGCAGCGCCTGTGCCGCGCGCTGCACACGGACCGCTTGCGAGAGAGAAATATTCGGCAGGGAGAGCGCGCGCCCAGGCGCTCCCATCCGCGAGATGTGTGTGCGTTGGCGTGCAGCCTGACCCCTTCCTACCATTCCCCAAGTTTGCTCCTCCGTCCCACGATGTCACCTCCCTCTGTCCTGTCGAAACGAATAAAAAACAAAAACCTCCATCCTCACCCATTCCGCCCTGCCTTCGTATCTCCCTGGTACCCATCCCCCGCCCCCACCACCCAAACGTGATCCTCCGCCAGCGCCCCACCTTCCCCACACCCGACCCTCGCGCCCGCACCTCCGTTTACCTTGCCCCCCTAATCCCCCCTCCTTGCTTCTCCCCTCGCTGCAGTTCCCCGCCTCTCTTTCTTAGCATGTCTACCCATCATATCAGTTTTACCCGCTTTTCTGCTAACATCCCCTCATTATGTATCTTCACTCGCCCGCAAAACCTTGTCCGTTCTCGACGCCTTGCCGCCGCCGCAGAGATGACCGTCTAGCATTAACCCGCCGCTGACGGCGTGCTCATCGGAGGTGGGGAAGGTGCGCTCAGCAACATCTGGGACGACGGCTTCTGCCTCACACCCGACGCTCGGCGTGATACACGTCAGGGATGCTTTCAGGTCGCCGTCGGTTTTTGGCGATCACTGATGAACAGTTAATCCCCGACGCCATTGAACAGCTTTTACACCCGCTCTTTTAGCTTCGCTTCTATGGCTAAATCACCTTGTGCACAAGCGTGGATGCAGATGCTTGCTTTGTTATTGAAATGCCAGATCGCCTCGAATTATACGACGGTCGCATGCAAATACGATTCACGAGGGATGGGGACACAGTTTTTTTTTGGTTGAGCTTGTTGTTGCTGTTGCATGGTCCGGCGAGTTGCTTATACACACGCGGACGGAGTTTCGTGAGAAAAAGGCGCGAGCGAGCGAGCCGTGACAGGTGGTGATGGATTCATTTACTATTCGCATCTTGCGATGTAGGAAAGCAATCTACGGCAAACATGTTTTTCTTCGACCTCTGGCAGAAAACAGTTGATGTGAAGGGGTTGCACAGTTGTACTCAAGGTGCTCCTCTCACGCTTCGTAGTTTTGCAAGACTTTTTCGAATCGAATGACCACATATGGATCATGGAAAGACGGGACGGGGCGGGGCGGGGCGGGTCGGGGACAAGACGGGACGAGACGCGTCACTGCCATTCCGACTTACCCCAAAAAGCTTCCCGTGACGTGTCCTTCGTCATGACCGGCACGGCGGCCGAGGCCATCACTCAAGTCTAAGACTTTGTTCAGCTCCATCGCTGATTGCTCAAACTCACTGCGATCAATGCCTACGTACGTTGTCATAAGTTGTTCAACAGACGTGTTCATTATTTTGCCGAGAAGGGCCAGAAACGAGTCCTCGTCAAGGTCGGTGAAGAGTCGTTTGTCTTTGTACGCGGCCATCATCAAAGTGCCGTAACTCGACCGTAATGACATCATCGTGATATGCTTCAGTTCCGGAAAATTATACTTCATGAAATTTTTAAGCACGCGAGTCACCTGGGACGTCGTGAGGAAATCCCCATTCTCGGTGTGCATCAACAATGGCTTCGATAAATCCTCTGATTCGTCCACCTGGGTCCTCCTCACAATGATGTGTCTCGTCACCTGCTGGTGAAATGCAACATATTTGAAGGCTGATTTGCTCACAAGGACATTAGGAAAGTCCAACGTTCTTTTCGTCTTTTCTGTCGTCGTTCTCATTTCGAAAAAATGAATCCGCCCAGCCTGATCTTGCATGTCCGTCAGCTCGTTCTCATCTGGGCACTGCAAGGTGGTGTAAACCTGTGGACGTTGGCCTGCCGCCGCAAAAATGAGCATCAGTAGTAAGTTCATCGACCACTTTCTGACGATCTCTTTCGAGTCCAGTTTGGCCACGGCCTGTTCGATGCCCTCGGAGTGCTTCGCACTTTCATAAAAAGCAATTAACCCGTCGAGCTCCAGCTTCACGATTTTGAAGCATCGACGGAAATCGTCTTCTAAAAATACGGTCCCCTCCAATACACGCTCATCTAACTGTTTGCGATGATTGGCGCGTGACCTTCCGAGACTTTTCTGGGTATTGTAAACCTTTTGTAGTTTGATTCGGGATCGCTCTGCTTCCGCGTACAGGTGCTGGTCCTTGTCAGAATAGAAAGTTTTGGCGTACTCCGAAATTTTTCGGAGATGAAGTGCCTTGGTCATCACCGTGGTACATTCTCCTTTCGCGTCGTAATAATTCAGAAATATATCCAACACCTCGCGGTCACAAACAGCTCTGTAAAGGGATCCAGGATTGCAGCTTTTTTTGACCTCAGTGAATCCTAGGACAATGTGCAGGCGGAGAAACTGCCCCGCAACGGTCACCAATTGCAAAAAGCTACTGTGGCTCCCCCCGTTCCTGACCTTGCGGTCATATTCCGTAACGTAGATCTCTTGCACGTCCCCGTTATTAAACTGGCTAATCGGGAGGGCTGCGTATGCTGGTTTGCCTTTTACCGCTCGCGTTTCGTCTTCGAGGGTCGCCTCCTGTGAGGTGAAAAAATCGGGGTGGCTGCCCTGCAGTGAGCGCAGATCTTGATACCACGTCTCACGAATGGCGTCCTCTCCTCTTTCAGAGAACGCAAGAGATGTCTTGCGCTTCCTACCGGGGGTCATCTTTCGGCTCGCGAGCTTCGGGCATTTGCGAATCGAGGCATTCCGCGCCCTGGCCATAGCTTGCAACTTCTCCGA